CATGCCAACCAGAAGTTACATCTTCCTTGCATACAGGACATGCCATATAACCTTTTGTGCTCCACCCAGAAACCATTGCATATGCTGGGAAATCATTCACAGTCCACATAACTGCTGCCCGCAAAGTGAACATCTTCCCAGTTGATTTATCGTACGTGCGAACACCGTTTGTCCACAAATCCTTTAGCTCATCAACCAGCGGCCTTAAGTAAACATCGATTGACCTCCCAGGATCCTCAGTTATCAAAACAGTCATCATCATGTATTCTTTTTTCATGCATTTCCAAGGCGGCAAATTATATGGGAATACGAAAATCGGCCAAGTGCTGTGGTGTTGGTTTAGAACCCCATACGGATTGAATCCGTCAGTGGCAAGTCCCAATCTAACATTTCGGGGATCAGCAGCAAACTCTGGGAACGTTCGATCGAACTCTTTCCATGCCTCCCCATCTGCAGGATGCCGCATCACATCATCGTCTACCCGTTTTTCCTGATGCCATCTCATGTCTGTGGCAGTATGCGTCGACATATACAATCGCTGCAACCTAGGTTTCAGGGGCAAATAACGCATGACTTTTTGTGGGATCTTAGTCGTCCTATTCTGAGATGTCATCTTGAACCTCGACTCATTGCATATAGGACATGTATCCAACGATTCATGCTCTTTGTAGAATAACATGCAATTGTTTTTGCAAGCATGGATTTTTTCATAACCCAATCCAAGACCATTCAACACCTTCTGCGCCTGTTTATGGTCTTTCGGCAAACAATTGTCCGTCGGAAGCATTCTCTTGAAAACCCCCAAAAAGTAATCGAAACACAGGTTCGACATACGATACTTTATTTTTCCGTGCATTAGCTCCACAATGGCCGTGAGAACGGAAAAGCTCTCGCACCCCGGGTATAACTCTTGGTTGGCATTTTTTAACAATTTCTCATATTGTTCAAACTCCGCACTGTCTATTGGTGTAGGCACATCATCTTGCTCTTCTTGATTCATGTTGGTCGATGCAAATGGAAAAACATCCTGTATAATATCCATGACTTCATCATTAGCATCCACAATAGGTTGAACATTGTCCACTCTTGTGGCATTTGAAGACGAAGCATGCTCTAATTGTTCCCCGTGAAGGTTCCAAATGCTATATGTCTCAATCATTCCATTTCTTACTAAATGAAATCCAACATTTTCAATTGTCTCCCATAACGTGTTGTTGCACCTCCTACAAGGACAACGGATTCTAGTTGCACCCGGGTTGTGTCTACGTGCAAACTCAATAAAATCCTCGATTCCATCCAAGTATTCGTCTGCGCATCTGTTAGGGTTTTGTATCCACCTTCTGTCCATAATTCCTGAAACCAGAATCACAACACAACAATCACAACAACTTCATACGAAGTTATAATGTCACCTTATGCCTCCGGTAAGGGTCCTATCCCATTCGGGAATGCATACTCCTGCCACGTAACCTACGACTACATGAGATTAGATTTCGACGTGGATGAATTTCGCCAGCATCTCGCTACAGTTCTTGAGGTGGCCATAGGTATAAATACCTATGTACCACCCGAAGAACGTACCGAGATGACAACGAAATATCCACAATCGAAACCTAATCCTGTAGCCATAGATTACGTGACAACACTATGCATTACCAAACTGTCCAAATAATGGGACAATTCAAGAATTAATTGGACCGCAGTCATGCATTACGCATCCATGCACGAAATCCAACTAATCTCGAACGGGAAACTAAGTGTTACTAAACATAAAAATAAAAGCACGAAGTTAATTTCAATTAACTTCGTACATCACAACAGATTGTACTACGTTACGCACAACATAATATAAATATAACTTCACAAGAACATTTTAAACATATATAAAACAAATAAAATACCTTCTCAATCGTTCTCCACCAATCGCTAATTACAAATATCCCTAACGAAAACAAATTAAAAAACCTTAGTACGAACTTAAATTAATACTTTTAAACTAATGACGAAAAATACTTACCCAATCAATGTATTGAAATCCTAGCAGCAGCAGAGAGGTTGAGAGAGAGGCAGAGGCAGAATGCTTTGTTTTTGCATTCTGCCTCTGCAATGGCAGAATTCTAATATGAAGAAGAAGGACTTTGCGCGACGAACAAACTTATTCGTCGCGCAAAGTCCCGTCGCAAAAAACCAAATTATTCGTCGCGCAAACCCTTTTTTTCGTCGCGCAAACACCTGCCGACATCTAACTTTTGCGCGACGTTGGTAATTTTCGTCGCGCAAAACTTCGTCGCGCAACATTGTCGCGCAAAAACATAATTCCGTCGCGCAAAACAGGGTATTCGTCGCGTAAACGTTGAACTTTACGCGACGAAACGTCAGTACGTCGCGCAAAAAAAAATATCCCACCCAGGTCATTTTTGGCGCCAAAAAATAAAATATCTCTTGTTCTCTTACGCGACGAAACGTCTTTCCGTCGCGCTAAATCAGGGACTGTCCTATTTGCGCGACGGATAATTTGTTCGTCGCGCAATGTTGCCTTCAGCGACGATATTTCTCGTCGCGCAAATGTTTCGCGCTAAAAAAATTCCCCGCTCTTTTTTTAACTCAGTTTGCGCGACGAATAAAGTTTTTTGTCGCGCATATACATTTTGCGCGACGAAATAGTTTGGTGGCGCAAATTTTCAGTGCATTGCGCGACGAAAATGTTTTTTCGTCGCGCAATTATTGTTTGCGCGACGAGTTGATCTTCGTCGCGCAATGTTTCGTCGCGCAAATAGTGAAACGTAGTAGTGTTTCCTTCTCTCTCTATAAAACCAGCTCTAAGCTCTAAAAGCCTACAGAGGGGGGTGAAGTAGGCTACAGGTCAAAGACCAACCAATTTAAAAAGTACTTGTTAATTCATACACACACACATACAAACAATTAAGTGATTAACAAGGTAAGACAAATAACAGCTGAAAGTAAACGACACACAAGAGTTGTTGACCCAGAAAACCCAAGTGGGTAAAAAATTGGGAGCACCAAGCTAGGAGAGTTCCAATCCACTCATTAAGAAATACAAGGAAATGAAGGAAGACTTAGCTCAATCTATCACCTTAGGCAGCTTTAATCACCCTTTCAGCAAGCACCATTTCTTTGTTTCTTAGCAGCAAATCTTCTCATGAGCACCAAGCTCTAGTTGTATGTAATTTGATGTATGGAGTGAGTTGCGGTTTCACAGATTCATCTATCTCAATCATAGAGTATGATTGAGCTAGACAAATGAAACCTAAGTGTTGTGAAGAATAAACTAGAAGTAATGTATTCGAAGCATATAGTTTAATTCAACATAACAACAACAAAGAAACAGTTTACAGCCGTGTAAATGTATACTTGGAGAAGTTTATATGTATACTATCAATCGTATACTCTCAAGTAACAAATACTAGCTGAAACATTTATAAAGATTGAAGTATAGGAACAACAGCCAGCCATTAAAGATTTAAGGTCATCTAGGAGAAGCACTTATGTGAATGCAATCATTCTCATAACCCTCAAGAGTGTGAGCTGTTGGCTGAAGGAAACAACTCTTTTCAGAGTTATTCCACCCACTCGGTTTTCATGTGCAGAGACTACCTAGAGAGAAGGCATAAGACATTTATTAAAAATGCATGAGTGAAAAACTGCTTTGACAAGTCTGTCCGGAAGAATATATAAAGAGCTTTTGACCCCAAAATAATTTGTTACCAAGCCACAGACTTTGAGCAAGGGAGCGGCTCAAGATCTTAGGAAAAAGAATAAAGAAAGTTTTATTCCTTTTGTAGATAGAGTGAGCTGACAAGTTTAGGGAATGGGATAACCAAAGAGCATGGGTGTCGCAAGTGGCCATTTGAAAAGCAAGTTTAATTAATAAACAACCCATCACTTTAGAAGGTGGAAGACAAGAGAATATTGTAAAAGATAAAACATATTTCAATGTTGAATTCTAAAAACTAAAGCCGTTTGAGAGTGAATAAATTACTCTAAAATGTTTGTCAGCTTTTTGAAAGGGAAGAGTTAAGAAAAACTGTCAAAGCTGAAATAAAGAGAATTGTTGCAGCAAACACGCAAATATGAAAGTTGGATCAATACACGTGAACATGTATTAATCCTGTGAGAATGCATGTGAGTTTTACCTTTGGCAGCAACGTGAGGACTGGGATCATCTTCAATCTATTTCAGACTTATCCTCTAATCTATCTTAGACACTAAGAATTAATACAATGGTTTTGTGAATTACAAGAGAAGAGCCAAACAACAAATATGAAAAATATAGTCCTTACACTCTCTTCAACGTAAATTTGTCTTAAAGTTTTCGCTCTCTCTCAAAGCATTGGGTATATTCTCTGAGCTCTCTCAAGTTTGATATTTTCTCTCGGCTCTCTCAAGCATTTGATATTTTCTCTCAGCTCTCTCAATATCCATGTATGTATATTCTCTCAGCTCTCTCTCAATATTCTCTTAGTCTATATATTCTCTTAGATCTCTCTAAATATTCTGTTAGTTTGTATATTCTCTCAGCTTTGGCTTCTTAATATGGGTTCTTTTATGTTTTGGGAGCTATGGGTTCTTGATTGGGAGCTATATATGGGTTCTTTTATGTTTTGATGTTTGCATTCTGTTAAGGGTTCTTTGAAAAGGAATGGGGATGGAAGAATTAGGCTTTGGTTTTTTATAAACCACGACGATGGTTTGTGGGACCAACCGTCGTCTAAATTTTTATTATACGTCGGCTTTTTATTTACTACCGCCATCGACCCTAACCCTAACAAATATCTTGTTAGTTGCTTAAAGACAACGGTAAATAGACATGTCGTAGTCTTAATCTATGTTACGCGACTATTATTTTGTAAAATCTGTCGTCTGATTCTTGTGGAATTTTTTTTAAAATTTTTTCCACTTTGTCTCTTCTCTGTCAATATAGTATTGTTTCATTACTGGTCTTTTCAATTTATCATATGTGTGATTTTATAGTGTGTGAGATGGATAAGTCATGGATGCATGCGGATAGAAGATCAAAGGCATATGAGTTAGGTGTGGAAGGATTTTTGAATTTTTCTGTAGAAAATCTTGGAAATGCAACTCATATTCGTTGTCCATGTGTTAAATGTGGGAATATTCGATTGTTTGGAGTTGGAATTATAAGGGACCACTTATACTTTAATGGAATTGACCAAAGCTATAAGTTTTGGACATGGCACGGAGAACCTTGGGAATGGACTACTAATGCTAGTAGAAATGTGGAAGAAGATGAACAAAGTAGGTTCAGTTTTGTTTTTGAAGAAGTAGGGATGGATGATAATGATTTAGGCGATATTGGATTTGATCCTTATGAGTTTGCCAATGTGATTGGGGATGGAGATCAACCCTTATACCCTGGTAGCAGTAAGTACACGATGTTGTCGGCTTTGGTGAAGTTATATAATTTGAAAGCAAAACATGGGATGAGTGATGTTTGTTTTACATAATTATTTATGCTTCAAGGAGATTTGCTTTCGGAAGGAAATACACTACCTTCCTCTATGTACGAGGCAAAAAAGACATTGTCTTCTTTAGGGATGAGTTATGAGAAAACCCACGCATGTCCCAATGATTGCATCTTGTGTAGGAAGGATTATGAAGATTCAACTAATTGTCCTACTTGTGGTGTCTCAAGGTGGAAGGAAGGCAAAGATTCAATCTTGAAAGAGGGTGTGCTAGTGAAGGTGGTGTGGTATTTTCCTCCAATTCCAAGGTTGAAAAGGATGTTTCAATCACATAAGACAGCTAAGAGTTTGACTTGGCATGCTGCTAGAAAATCAGTTGACAGTCAGATGTCTCATCCAGCAGATTCTCCGTCTTGGAAACTTGTTGATGATAAATGGCCCGAGTTTGTTAAAGAGCTGAGAAACTTGAGATTGGCTCTCTCATCTGATGGATTCAATCCCCATAGTTCTTTAAGTAGCAGATACAGTTGTTGACCAATTATTTTATTTACATATAATCTCCCACCATGGCTATGCATTAAACGGAAGTTCATGATGTTGACCTTATTGATTTCCGGTCCTAAACAGCCTGGAAATGATATAGAAGTCTATTTAGAGCCTTTGATTGATGATTTAAAATCTCTGTGGGATGGGATAGAGGAGTGTATATGCACATATAGGAGAATACTTTACACTCAGAGGTGTATTACTGTGGACACTTAATGATTTTTCTGCTTATGGCAACTTATCTGGTTGTGTCATTAAAGGATATAAAGCTTGTCCAATATGCGGCGATGATACACCTAGTCACAGGTTCAAAAATGGTCACAAAATTTGTTACATTGGGCATAAAAAATGGTTACCAATCAATCATCCATATCGGAGGCAGAGTGCAGCTTTTAATGGGAAACCTCAATATGGCACGCCTCCTGAGCCATTAACCGGAGCAGAAGTGTTGCACATGGTTGAAGATATTAATTACATATGGGGCTCGAAAAATGGGGGAAGTGTTGGTGAGAATGATGGTGACAGAGTTTGTTGGAAGAAGAAATCAAAATTCTTTGATCTCGAGTATTGAAAATACCTTCATGTGAGGCATGTCCTAGATGTTATGCATATTGAGAAGAATGTTTGCGATAGTGTGATTGGTACATTGTTGAGATCCCTGGAAAAAATAAAGATGGGATTGCTGCTCAGTTAGATTTATTGAACATGGGGGTCAAAACTGATTTGCAACCCGAGTATGGACAAAGACGTACTCGCTTGCTTCCAGGGCCTTGGAATTTCTCAAGAGCAGAGAAGAGAGCGGTTTGCAATTCTTTCTATAGTATGAAGGTCCTTGAAGGTTATTGTTCATGGTTTACGAACTTGGATTTATATTACAATCTGAATATTCGAGATGAAATTAGAAGAGCATACGTACAAAAATGCCCTTGTCAACCTAGATTCCTCCTTGAAATCCGTGACAAACCCTGTGGTTATTCCAATATCTTACCGATGCCGGGCCCTCTTACTAAAAACATCCCCTTCTCTAAAACAAAGGAAAAGGGGTCGAGACTTCTACCGAAATTTCGATAGAGTCTCCCCTGAAAACGAACTTTACCAATATTTTCACCTGTCAAAAATAGCAGAAATAGTACTCCAACTGGCAGTTGCAAAAGCACACAGTTTACAGAATAGGCCTCGAGCCTTAAATTCAACCCTATAAGGGCAATAACAGAGCAATTCTAAGAAAACTTTCAATCTACAACCGAAACAAAGTTCAAGGAAAGAAAACAAATAGAAATGCCCTACAGAAGTTCAGGGCGCGAAAGTACAAGTCTTGGCTAGATTGCTAGGCTCAGATTAAGTTACTGCCTGGGGGGCGCAAAACAGAAAATTGTGAGTGGACAAAAACAAAGTTTTAAACATGATTGTAATCAACGTACTAACCCCACCATTTAGAAAATCATGCCAAAACATGCAATCAAAACCAATTAAATACATAATCAATTCAAAACCATGGTAAATCCAATATCCCGATATAGTATAATCATACCTAACTTAACTCAACCTTTTTCCCTTTCCCAAACCACTCTCAACCAAAACGCATGCCCGTAGGCACAGAGAGCGAGGAAGGATCCTCATTGTTAAACAAGAATCAAAGGTATATAAATATAAATAAATATATATAAGACCACTACCAAATTTGTACCGGGGAAACAATCCAACCGGGGGATTGTTTGACTCAACCACATAGAAGAATCCTCAATTGACTATGTGGCTAGGGAATGAGCCATCCAACCAGGGGACTAGGCTCACCAGCCCGAACAGCAAAATCGTCAAAATTTGTGTGACTGTGAAAAGTCCTACATGCGCAGACTGCCCGTCAAGGCCTACGACACACCTAACCAAAGGTGCTCGGATTCCAAAGTAACCAAGTAACCAATATCCAAGTGCCAGGGAGGTACGTATGGTGGTGCTAATAACACTCCAAATTGACATAAACCACAACCCAACTCAAATTCCACAACCACTTTCCAGTAACCCCAAGTACCCAAACCCATATCCAAAGACAACCGGACATCACTAGTGTCCATAGCACAATACCCAAATTACACATATTCATAGTATAGATAGTAACTCTCAAAATTAACAAATATATCAACCCAAAATAATCACAAGCTTCAAATATCCAAATATACACCAATACTTTAATAAAATACCATAATCCCATAGTAAAGCAATATTATAACCTCAATAGTCAAAATAATACATGCCTACTAATCCAATCTTTGAAAAACTTGTTCATTGAAAACAAAGTCCACTCATTGAAAGTCTGAAGCTACTTGACCCTGAGAGGGTCCTGCCTGTTGAGCACGTTGAGCCTGAGTACCTATTTGAAGAACACGAGGAATTAATTAAACAAATTACCTCGAACAAGAACTTTGAAACAAACCCCTAACTTTTTTCGGGAATCAAAGTGTGTGTGCCCGACTACCGAGGAGTTTCTAAGGTCAACTAATGCTTTCCAATAGGTAAAACAACCTCGGGAGACTCATGACCAACCTATTGGTCAAACTTTTCGAAAAGGTCAACCGGGCGTGTGGGGCCCACGACCTCCAATTTCTGATCCGAAAGTTCCTATGGGTTCAACAAAGTCTACTAAATACATTCTGTAATTTGGTCTCAATTGAGCAGTCGGATCTAACCCAATCGCACGATTGGATGGCGATCGCTTCACCTAACCCTAGAAGCCAATATTCAGAGTATCCAGGACTCTGATTCTCGATCCACGAGTTCCAATACGGTTCTAGAGGTGTAGAGAACGACATATTTGAAATTATGACCGATCGAACGGTCTGAACTTGTCAAACCCGGATATCACATAATATAGGTGCAATATCTATTCGACTGTTAAACTATAACCAATTCCAAATCCGAGCATACCATCTTGCTCAGAACGCCAAGGCGAGTGTTTTAGAACACAATGGGCTGCCACACCGTGGCCCACGTGCTGCCACATGTGCGAGCCATGCGTGGGTGTCTTCGTCGAGGGAAGTTGTTGTCAAAAACGCCTGAAATGACAACGAAAAAACTAGCCAAAAACTAGTTGATCCAGTCACTTCAAATCAAATTTTCGAGCTATTAAATGGGGTGAGGTGTGTGAGAGAGAGAGAGAGAGAGAGAGAGGAGAAATTTGGTACATGTTTCGTGCGATTTGGTTGCTGGACGGCAATGAAATCGCCTTCTGATAGACGGTGTCGCGACGGAGAGAGAGGAAGGAGAGAGAAAGTGTCAGGGGGAGAGAGAGAGAGAGAGAGATTACTGATCGGGTGTTTAGGGTTGTTGACAAATTTTAAAATTACTGTTGCTGATTGGGTGTTTAGGGTTGTTGAAAAATTTTAAAATTACCGTTACGTCCTCTTGATTTTTTGACCTTTACGGGGTTGTTACAACTCAGAATGGAGCGTGCCGTATGTTCTACGAACTTGTATCGACGAGCTCTATGCAACGGTGCCACTCAATTCCCCAAAATCCTCATGAATTAAAAAGTGACCAAAGTGACCCTACCCTGCAACGGCAAAATTGTAATTTCATAGATAGAGAATTAAATTGAATAAAACAATTAAATTGGGTCTGGTGCATTACAGTTTGACGAATTCCCATATTGGTTGGAATATAGCATCAAAGAAGATATTGCATTTTGCTTACGTTGTTGTATTTTTAAAACAAATTTGGGAAAGAAAGCTGGAGGTGACTCATTTGTTGGTACAAGTTTTTTGAATTGGAAGAAAAAGGAAATATTTCAAATTCATGTTGGAGGTCCCAACAGTTCCCATAACCAAGCTCTAAAAAAATGTCAAACCTTAAATGAAAATAGCATATTGAAAATGTTTTCTCTAAGCACTCACATGAATCTGATTTGACTACAGAATCAAATTGAATGCATCTCTTGATTGTATTAGATTTCTTCTACGACAAGGTCTTGCTTTTCATGGCCAGGATGAGTCTAAGAATTCAAGCAACCAAGGTAATTTTCTTGAGCTTCGGCCATTTCTTGTTGATCACAATGAGGAAGTTAGAGTTGTTGCTTTGAAAAATACTCCTGAAAACCTCAAAGTAACTTCATCAAATATTTAGAAAGACATTGTAAATGTTGAAACAGTTGAAACAACTGATGCTATTATTAGAGAATTGGATGATGAATTCCCTAAAACTAAAATATTTTAGATTTTAATAATTAGGGTTGGGAAGTTCTTATGTCTACAAGGTTCTAGGTGCTGCTAACAGAAGAAGAAAAATTGAGGAAGAAGAAGATCCGAGAAATAAAAAATAGAGTTATTGAGAGAATAACAGAGAACTTGTATTCCAGATTTCTTTTTCCTTAATGAGAACTACAGTACATTGAGTCTTTTATTATAGTAGCATCCACAATGGACTACTTAAACCACCTTCTTAGATAAAACATATGGATGAAGTGAGAAAACCCACCTCCAACCATGCTCCCTATCCAACTCCTAAAATAGGGAGACCTTTAGGAGCTCCTAGATCTGAGGAGAGAGAAAGGACTCCTAGTGACTCCCTATAATTAAATGCTGCTTTACTTTAATTCTATTTTAAGTATTTATTTAATGCTAACTATTTTGTTAAATTATTTTATATGAAGAGGGAGCATTTATGCTAAACTAAAAAAAGAAATAAATAATTTACGATTCCCTAAATTAGGGAGCATGGTTGGAGTTGAAATTTTATAAGGACCTCATAAAATAGTTTTCTAGTGTTTTTAGCTAAATTTTAACTAAAAATAAAAAGCATCATTGTGGATGCTCTAAGCTTTGCTTAGCTACTAAGCAAGTACAAAAACCTCTTAACTGACTGAAGACTAACCCATCTGATTATTACAACAACTAAGAGCATCCACAGTGGGGGGGGTGTACTTTCGGGGGTGTATTTTCGAGGGTGTAAAGCCACTTTTACATCCCCTTTACACCTCCAATACGTTTTTTGCTCCAATGGGAAACAATTTAAATCCAAATATGCATATTCGATTTGTTTGTGATAATTCATTTTTGTGTTTTTTTTTGGTGTTTTAACTTTTTAAAATTAATTTTGTGCGTGTTAGATTTATTTTATTTTTCCAAATAAATGGACCTAAAAAAATTTAAATTTGGAGAACATATGATTTTACCTACAAACTAACATAAAAATATCTATGTAGAAATTTATAATTTATTTTAAACATTTGAAGGTATTTTTTCTAATATTTCAGATCATTGGAAGTGCAATGCAAATTGCATGAAATATGGGCCTTCCATTTTGAATTCCAATCCTTCTCTTTCCCTTTTTCTCTTGTAGGTCCCGCATGCAAAGGATGTAAAAAAGGATGCACATGTGCATCTAATGCATCTCCATGGTTGTGATGTATTTTTACAACCATTTACATCTTCCCATTGAAGATGATTCTGGTGACAAAGTGTGTATATTTAACATCCACTTGGCTTTACACCCCCATTAGAGATGCTCTAACATAACTAATACACGTGATTAATATCACAGCCTTGACACTTCACTAACTAACCACACGTCAACTTAACCTCTCTCTTTACTATTAGCCAAACACTAGAATTATTAATATATACTTTGCATATAAGTTATGCATCTTGCAAAGCCTATGAAGAATTTCATATATCTTCTATCAGTTATTGGTAGTTTGAGCACTTCTCTTCAAACAATTTTCACCACGCTTTGTATATATGTATATGTATGTATATATATATATACAGGGAGCTTCAATTGAGGAATCTCTCAAATATGCTAATTTGAGGGACACTATTGTAGGGTCCACTTCGTATTGTATTTCACTAATCCAACTGTCTATTTTGTAGATACTCATTCAAAGATTATCTACAAAAAATCACTTGAATCTGATATCATTTGACCACTAAATTGAATTATTGAAATTTTAGTACTTTATTGAAGCATCGTGTTCATTGATTTTGTAGGACATAATTGGATATTAAAACGGTTTCCAATTTGTCTAATTTTTTGCAAGAATGATCTATGGATGTAGACATAAAAAATAGATGGTTTGGATCGTTGAAAAAATATTTATAGGTGACCCTAAAGAGAGTTCCTAAAATAAAATTATTTGAGAGATCCCTCAATAGAAGAGGACTATATATATATATATCGTCTATCAGTTATCGGTAGTTTGAGCACTTCTCTTCAAACAATTTTCACCAAGCTTTGTATATATTTATGTGTGTCTGTGTATATATGGAGGAAATAAAAATAGATTAACTGATCATTCTGACTCACTCAACAAATTCTAACAGAAACAAATTAAGGCATACACAGCTCACTAGCCAAACACAACCTGCTGGTTCTCGTTAAACACATTCTCCATCGTCAAATAGATGGTTTACTTTAGCAATTCGGTGTAGTTCCTCCAACACACAAGGAAACGACAGGCGTATTCTCCTCAGAATTTGTTGGTACGGTGATGGGCTCTCGAACTATCCACCAAACTATCAATCACTTTCCTGAGGCTTTTTGGGATCTTATGCTTGAACCTGCCCCACGACTTCCTTGACAACCAAACGATGAGGCGAATGGTGTGGATTGAAGAGATGGTTAGAAGCAACGCAATCCAAACCCACAAAATGGCTTTAGCGCATATACCTTGATATGACAAGAAAATGTCAGTATTAGGAACCACTAACAGTAAAGCCCGTGAATAGGTGATTGCCATAGAAGTGAGAGTGAGACACATGGCCATTGATAAAAGCCACATAATTACGCGATTCCGGAGGGGAAATCCGCCAACAAGCAAAAGGGTGACACTGAGAGAAGCAATGAACGAGATGGTATTGAATGTCACGAACGCGAGGAAGTCTTTTGGGAAGCCGCTGGCGGCCACTGAAGTTCCAGCAAAGCATATGTTATTTTGGGTGCAATAAGTAGTACCTCCAGCGCTACTATTTGTATTATTGTCTTGCCAAACACTACCGGGTGGGTAAACGGCAGCTCCGAAAGTTGTAGTTGATATCATGGTTGCCACAATCATCAGCATGCCACGTGTCTCTTCCAACCAAGTTTTTGGGTATTCCAAGCAATTTACCAGTCTATTTATCAGCCACCAAGCTGCTGCTACTGCTGTGTGCTGAATCTGAACAGCATCGGCAGTAGTTCTTTTTGTTTCCATACCTGGCTCAACCAAAATTTGATCAAGTTCAGCAGGTAGGCTGCTCGAGTCTCTTGCATTTTTCTCTGAGGAATATAACTGGATCACGCCATTTGGTTCTTTTACAGCAGGTATTATCTGCGCAACTCGTGCCATTAATATATTGAAAACTTTGCTGCTTGAAACCAAGGCATAAGAATCGTTTGTGTAGCATAAAAAATTAATCCCAACTCAAAAACAATAATAATGGTGAAAAAAATTAAAATTGTAGTTGTCTTGAATTCAAATGTAATAATCCTAAGAAAAATTAGTGTATAGTGATAAAACTTTAACAATTGTCATGTGACACCATTTTCATTTATTTAATTAAAAATATATTTTTTTTAAAAAAAAAAAGATTTATAAAAAAAAAAAAAAAAAAAAAAAAAAAAAAAAAAAAAAAAAAAAAAAGCACATTGTTAAAGCCTAAGTATACCAATAATAACATAAAAATACACATTTCATTGCCCTTTCTATTCTAAAAGCCTAACCAATATAAGAGTGACATAAAAATACATACTGCATCGCAATTTCTATTCTATAAGACTAAAATTATCAATATATAAGTAACATAAGAATACACAATGCATTGCAGTTTCTATTGTATAA